TCCTATTTGCATGTCCTCTGCTATAAAGCAGCTCTGGGGTTAAGTCTAGAAATTGGGCTCCCAGAGCAGAGGTGACTGTGCTGGAGGAGTTTGGTGACAATAGTCACCTTGGAGACATCATGACGCACTGACCTCGTGCTGTGGTTCACACTGTATCTGCAGCTCCTTGGAAGCTTGAGGCAGAGTGTGAGAACACTGAGAGCTGTCTGGGGTGCAGAGAGACACACATGTCCTCTCACTCTGCCATTGTGCCTGGTGATCGTTCTGTCAGCATTTATGATCACACAAAACACAAAGTGCAACACTCCTGTGACCTCCTTGTGCACAAGCAAGAGTGTAAAACAATGGTGAATGTGTTTCCACACTGGCAGCGTCTCACGTGGTATGAGCTCCATGCCTGGTCTGGGCCTGCACAGCCAAGGAAGGCCCACAGTCTCTGGTGTGTTCCAGGAGAATGGTGCTCATCTGTGAGCTCACAGAGCCTCCTTCCTGAGCCGAGATCAGGTGTGGCTTTGCCGCATTTTACTTCATTTTGACCACCAACCAAGATGGCCATGGTTGAGGCAGATGCTTGATAGTGGGCTCTGGTGTATCATTTGTTACAATCTATTTTTCTCATTCATATGTATTGTGTATTTGCGACGAAATCATTTGTATTGTGAACTTGTAATAACCTCAGTGTGTCACACACTGAACAATACATAGGTAAATGAGTATTTGGTAACTATCAACAAGTGACTTGTATCTTCTTCAAATTGTTTTTTCAACCTTTTGACAGTTTCCTTGCATCTGTCTTTCAATTCATTGGTTACAGTGATTCCTAGTGCTGGACAAGATGGTGAGCTGAATGTGAACAACACTTTTGTCCATGAACAAGAATCCACTGACACAAAGCTGAGCAGATTCTGAGGAAGAGAGGAAAGGAGAAGCGACAGGGAGTTCCTGGGGACCCAGGACATGGCAGAGAAGCAGTCAGGGTGGAGACACTGTGGCACTGAGCTCTGACATGTGTGCAGCTCTCCTGCTAGGGAAGAGAGCTGAGCCGTCAGCAGGTGACATCAGGTGTGCTCACAGAGGGACTGGCAGCTCTGAGTGGGACACATGGCTGAGGACTCGTTAACTAGCAAAAACCCTGAAATGAAAGAAAGGACAGGAAATCACTAACCCTTGTGTTGGGAGGTATGGACCAGTTATTAGGCAGTTAGTCAATGAGAGATCGCATCAGGTTCTGACTTTGAGTCCTAGTCATGGATCCAAAAGAGAAAAGGAAATTGAGGCCTGACTCAAATGATAGAAAACCAGCCTTGAGTGAGAAAGCAGAGGGAGAGGGCAAGGTCCCTGTTTGTGCAAAAGTGCAGAATAAAAATGCTTATAAACACATGAGAGATACCGAGTATTGGGGGCCAAGCTGGGTCATGTGAAGCAGGCAGGCTGACTGTGAGAATGTAAATAAGAACGTGACTGGAAGTTATACCACGGTTCATGAGCACACAAACACTAGAAATGCCATCGATTCCAAACTCCAGTAATGTCCAGTGGCACATTTCCTTCTTATCTTCAGTTGCTGTGGCATTGTTTACATCAGCAAGCCAGGAGATTAACCCAGGTGTCCATGAGAGAAG